TTGCGTAGTTTTCTGGACCTTTCTAGGGCTCAGTTGCCTCAGCTGTAATCACACTACCTTCCTCATAGAATTCCTGGATTAAGTAAAATAATACACAGTACTAGGCACATAATAAGCACTCAGTAAATTTATTAACATCATCATCATATACTGAATTTAAACACCTCACCAAATATTGCTACTGGATCTCACTCATAATTGTTTATCATTAATTTTATCTTGACTAGTATTTGCTGTTTCTAAGCAGTCCAAAGGAGTTGTCATTTTGGGCTCTGCAGGGTCCCTGGGCCGCCTCTAGGACACTTCCCACCCTCTAGTGTACCTGTCTGGATTCAGGTCAATCTCCGACAGGCTGCTGGCTCTGCAAGGCGGGTGGAATCTTACTCTTTTGTCCTCAGCACACAGCGCAGAGTGTAGCCAGAATACACACGCAGTAAGATAGCAGAGTGGACGGAGGGAGAGGGGAAGTCATCTGGAAGGCAGCCAGGCGCTTGCAGAGTCTAACGACTCACACCCTCTTCGTCCTCTGATCCACTGGGTCTCAACCTGTTCGGGTGGAGGTGGAGAATGCCATGGAAGATCCAATTTAGGCAAACCAGGGACACCTTTCTTAGAAACTATGAAATTTCTGTTGGGAGCACTCTTGGTTTTCGTACCAGTCAAGCTGTCGGATTAAAACTGGTTGGCCATTTGCTCACTTCTCAGTCCATCTCCATTTGCTGCTCTATGGATTCATTTTATCTAGGAGCACTCTTTGCCAGCAAATAAGATTGCAGGGGAAGGAGAGGAAGAGTAAAGATTTAGGAATAATAAAAAGAGAACATTTCACATTGAGCTAATTCCACCCATTGACTTTTTCCACCCCAGATTAGGAAAGGTGGCCAATTTGTCTGAGTCTGCTCTGCCCTACTATTAGCCCTTTGCCATTTGTGAAACTCTACTCTGTCCTGGGGTCCTGATTCCTGGCCAACCCCAGCATCCTCTTCTTTACCTAAGCACTGTTTTCCTAAAGTTAAACCTAGAAGAGAAAGGAGCATGAGGCCACTCAGCTTTTGTTTGGGAATGAATGCAGTCGGTGGCCACCCTAGTCAGGGTTACTCTGCGAGAGGCACTGTGTGAGCTCTTGGCATGGGTTTGGTCCTTTAATCCTCCCAGCACCCCAAGAGATCAGTACTGTCTGCTGTCCTGTGTTGCAGATAAGGAAACAACAGAGGGCATGAGCTCTCACCCAGGGGCATACAGCCAGGAAGAGCAGAATTAGAACCCAGACCTCTCTGCCCCCAAAGTCCACACTTTTGACCACCGCACTGTGGCCCTTTAAAGATGCAAGGTGACCAATACCATGTCCAATACCATGGACCCTGGGGCTCTGTCTGGTGTGTAGCTGGGGCCTGCTGTTGGGGACTGAAGAAACATTGGGGGTGATAACACCCACCCCTCCCCTCACCCCCAGGCTGCAGCCCTTCATTCCTGACAACACTGCTGAGACTCCTGTCTGCTATCTTTTAGATTAGCCCATAGCTATTTTTATTCTGCCCTTGCTTAGGGAAGAAACAGAGCTTGGGCAAACCCTCAGGCAGGGCCCCAGGGAAGACCACCATTAGCCAAGGAAGAAAACAGAACTTGTTTTACTATCTTTTTTAACTATCTTTTTTCCTTAGAAGAATCTACAAATTGAGTCACTCTGTGAAATTGCCTCCAGCTGGGCATTTCTGGCCACCTATCACAAACACAAGTACTGATACTTTCTTTTCAGAACAATGCTGACATGTGTCTGTTGAAATAAAGTCTCATCTCCTGGCTTGGTGAGAAGGAGGTTTCAAGGAGATGAGCTTGGTGAAGGGAAAAATGGGCAAATGGGGAAGCACGTCAGGAAAGACGGGAAAGCCTGGAGAGGGGCCAGGCTGTGGGCTGGGAGAGAGCGATCTCCAACATGTGCAGGTTGTGAGCCTCAGAGAAGTCTGCATGGGGATGGTCTAGGGGTCCAGAACTCATCTGAGAAGTCTGAATTGCAGATGTAACTTGGAATTGTTGATCATGATAATGACTACAGCTGTGGAGACACGAGTGACCTTGCCTTTGAGAGAAAGTCTGGAGGGAGCAGAGAGAACAAGATCTAAGTCAGCAATTAAGGCTGAATAGAAGATGAACAAAGTGTGAGGAGTTGCCAGGGAAGGAAGATGAAAACCAAGAGTGTGGAGAGGTTTCTGGAAGAACCGGTATCCAACAGAGTCAACAACTGCTGAGAGGTGAGGTGGAGTGGGGGGGTGAAAATGTCCTCCAGAGTGGCAACCTGAGGCCATCCTGCTCATGCCACACTGGCTTCCTTGCTACCCCTCAAATACGCCAGTCATGCTCCCAACGCAGGCCTTTGCTCTGGCTGTTCCCTCTGTGTGGAATCCTCTGCCCTCAGCTGTGCACATGGCTCACTTCCCCGGCCTCAAGTCTTTGCTCCAGTCTCACCCCAATGAGGCCAGCCCTGACTACCCTGCTTCATATTGCGAACCTGCTCCCAGTACCACATCCCAGATCTCCATTAACCTCCCCCTTTCCCCAAACCTCTTATTTTCTAACATAATGACTTATTTACTTATGTTAATTGTTTATCATTTGCCCACCCTCTCCCACAAACCATAAGCTCCATGACGACAGGGAATCTGTTTGGTCCACTGTGTATCCCTAACACGAGTGCCTGGCACACAGTAATGCTGAGTAAATACATCCAGCCCTCTGCATCCATGTGCTCCACATCCGTGGATTTGACCACCCCTGGATCAAAAATATTAGGGAAAAAACTACATCTGTATTGAACGCATAGATTTTTTTTGTCATTATTCCCTAAACAATACAGCCTAACTGTTTACATGGTATTTACATTGTATTAGGTATTATAAGTAATCTAGAGATAATATAAAGCATACGAGAGGATGTGCATAGGTCATATGCAAATGCTGTGCTAACATACATCAGGGACTTGAGCATCCGTGGATTTTGGTGTCTATGGGGTATCCTTGAACCAATCCCCATGGATACCGAGGGAAGGCTGTACTTCTTGAATGAAAGATCTTTTTATTTATTTATTTTTTTAAAGATGACCGGTAAGGGGATCTCAACCCTTGGCTTGATGTCACCACACAGCCTGTGAGCTAACCTGCCATCCCTATATAGGGATCCGAACCCGTGGCCTTGGTGTTATCAGCACCGTACTCTCCTGAGTGAGCCATGGCCGGCCCTAAATGAAAGATCTCTTGATGGCTGCTCTATACTTTAAATTCCTTGACTGTCAGCTAATTAAAATGTATCATATGAGTTTGCCTTACTGTTTAATAGTGAAAATTAAGGCCACTTATGAAATATTGCAAAAACCAAATGTAGGTAAGCTTCATACATTTATGTTTTTTAAAAATCTACCATCTCCAGCATTTCAAATGAACCGATGGAAATAATCACACCTACTGCAAGACGGTAGAGTAAATGTGAACACTGCCCTCTCATGGCTGAACATGGACATGGCCACTTTCTGCACTGCCAACCTGGTTGGGGAAGACTTAACCCTGGCGGCTGAAGAAGGTTGCAAACTAGTTGTAGATGACATTTCAAAATGGGCCAAATTTGACTGTTTTCAGAAGGAGGCAAATATAAGAGGAATACAGTGTCAAAGGGAGCATTTTTAGGGAGTTCAAAGCCCACACACTTCCATACTGCGAGAAAGATGTTGACAATCAGTGGGGAAGTCATAAAGAAAAATGTTAAGACAAGAAAATCCTAACTTGATAACATCCATCTGCTGCACTTACAGCTGGAATCTGAGTGGGAATTTCCCATCTGTGCTTTACTTTCAGCTTTAATTTGACTATAAATAAGACACATGCATGCACAATTTGCACGGAGTGTCTCGGGGGGTCAGGAATTGTTTAAGGGTGATATATATTTAACCCAGAACCTACTCATCAAGCTAATCTGAGGTGTGCAGCCAATCCCGTATAACTTGGTTCCATGATGATCTGTCACTTCATAACTGAGGCCTTAACTCTTGACACCCTCTGCTCCAATAGATCCAAACAGACTCTAATACCTGGCCCAGCTTTTCCTGAAGCCCTGTGGCTGTTTGCTGCAGGAAACCTCAGGGCCCAGAGCCCTGGGGGAGGCAGCATTTGGGAAGCCCATCACAGGCCCAGTCAGTCAGAGGGAAGCTATACTTGTAACTTTAAATTCTCTTTTGGTTCTATCACCCTTACTTTATGGATGGGAAAATTGAGGTTTAGTGGCAAAAGGTAACTTGCTCATGGTCATGTAGTCTACTAGTTATAGAGTCAAGAGTCAAAACCAAATGTTTAAGCCAGGGTTCAAAGTCCATGTTCTTTCTACTTTCCCTTCTGCCTTCACATTACTCCTCCCTGGTCCTCTGGGGCTGTACACAGTTGGGGCTGGCATTTCAAGTTAAAGGTTAGCCAAGCCTATAGCACAAGGAGACCTTGAGGGCTGGCTTAGCCCAGGCCCTATCCCCCTCAGCCCAAATGTGACTCTGGTTTTCATTAGCTTCTCTCCCCTTGGTTATACGATGGTACTTCAAAAAGTTTGTGAAAAAATAGATTCAAAAGATAATATGCAGGGCCACATGAACTTTTAGGAGTACCCTCATACTTAGCTCTGGACCTCAGAGAGAAAGGTGTGAGCCAGCCCTTACCACTGCACACCCTCAGGCCAGCGGGGTCTATCTCAGCCTTTTCAGATGGTGTGAGCCATCTCCAGTGAGGGCTGTCTGCACTCTCCTTCCTTAAAGTCTGTCAGATCTTATCTCTGCTGCTCCTTGAGGGAGGAGCCATGTCTGGTTTACCAATGTGTTTGTCACATTCAGCAGTGTCTATAAAACACCGCATGTGGCAGCTACATAACACAGCTTCTTCATAATTCTTTTCTTCTTATAATACATAAATAAGTAGGTACATACTCTAAGTTCGCATCCCAAAATCTGGACATCAAGAAAAGAGGCACACAGATTCCTAGAGGGATACCTTGCAAAAGGCATTTCATTCTGTTAAATACAATCAATTTTATTCAAGGAACGACCATGAATTTTCATCATCCTTCTTCCCATCTCTTCTCTCCTCCCTCCACCTTATCTGGCACATAAGGCCTCAGCAGGAGAGGAAGCAAGGAAGAGCATCAAACCCCAGACAAGCCCCAGGGCCTGGACCCTAAGTGCTCCACACCGCAGCCTCCAACAGTGTGCGACCGCTCAGCGGTGAGCTTGGAGTCCTTGTGTCCCATAGGCGTCCCTGAAGACAGGCCTCCCTCTCATTGCTCTGCTCACTCTTTACAAGCCAGCCACTTGCAGAAAACTGGGGCGCTGTGTTTCCATGCAACCTGTGGAGCAACTGGAGCAAACTGGGGTGGGTGTAGCTCTGTTTGGTGCCTGGGCCAGAGCTCAGGAGCGTGGATAGATCCGAAACAGGAGCTAAAAGGGCCAAAGCTGGCAGCTCTCAGATTTATAGAAACGGAAAGAGCCGCTTCTTCATGATATAGAGGACCGTAGCAAGAAAAAGGGCTAGAGCAAGGAAGATGAGAAGCTTGTCCGTCAGCTCTCTTCGGTTATACTTTGTGATGAGCTTCCGGCCGAGCTGGATGGTCCCTGACATAGACTTAAATTCTTCATTTGCATCCAGAATCGTTCGTGACGAATTAACTGAAACAAAAGAGAGAGGGAGCCTGACTCAGAGACTGTACAGCACAAAATCCAAAGACTTCGCTCTGCTGGCCAGGTAGCCAATAAAAACACTGCATTCTGAAGCGAGTTCCTCTGAGCCAGAATCAAAGCATGTGAATGAAGACCAGCTAGATGAGCAAAGAGAATAAGAACCTAACAAGGAGAGGCTCTTCCCTAGGCCCCATCCAGCTCCAGAGGGTGAGGTGGTTTGCTGAGGAGTCCTCAGACATGAACATCACCAGGGAGAAGGGCAGAAGAGGGCCACGTGCCTCACCACCACCCTCAACTCTCTGAAGCAGACAGGCGCTGCTGAGAAGACCCACCAGCCACAAAACTAACCCGGGTGATCATGGACAGACATTGTGAGGTTTGTGTTGGGACAGGAGCCAGGAGGTACCAGCACTTTCCACCTGTGAGGTGCAGCCTGCAAGGGCACCTGATGGTCAGATCTGCTCTTTGCAGGATCACAAAAGGTGGGGGGTGGGCCCTGCCACAAGCCCTCACATGTACCAGTCCTTCAGTGCTGGCACACTGGCTATGGCTTTAAAGATGTGACATCTGTGCTTCATCCACTGTATGACACCTTAAGAGGAGGCCCATGTCCCTCAATAGCTCATTGCACCTGAAGTCAAGTATACTTCCAAGTATAGGTCTCTGGGCCTGACTCTTGGGGTAGAAAGTTTACCTGGCAAGACTCCCCTATAAAGCATAATAAGGCATCATCAAAACATCTATTGAATAAAATATGTTAAGTGAAAAGGCAAGGTGCAAAGGAATGTATATGAAATGCCTTCATTTATGTAAGAAAGCGGGAAATAAATAGTATTTCATTTGCTTGTGTTATATAAGCTTGGAGGATCTCAGAAGGATATAAAAGAAACTGGGAACAGTGATTGCCTCTGGAGAGTGGACCCAGAAGGCTGGCAGTCAAGGGGTTAGCTGGAGGTCAGAAGGGAGAATTGTCTTGTTTCCTTTCATACTGTCCAGAGCTGTGCTGGCCAATATTCAGCCACTAAACACACATGGCTCCTGTGCATGTAAAATGTGGCTAATCCAAACTGTGATGTCTGTGAGTGTAAAATACACACAAGATTTCAAAGATTTATTTATTTATTTATTTATTTTTAAAAGATGACCGGTAAGGGGATCTTAACCCTTGAC